AACGGAATTGCATTATGTAGAGGAGATGTCAAGCCGGATGTTTGTCTTGGCTGTATCAAAGATGCTGCCATTGAGCTCAAAAATAGTTGTCTCACCAAGGAAGCAGCTCAATTTTATGACAATTGTATGTTGAGGTACTCGAATAATTCCATCCTCGGCGTCCAGGACAATAATGGTAATTTCTTTAGATGGCCAGAAGGGGCTATTGCTGCGGATGTTAGTGCTTTCAGTGATGCTCTGATGAGTCTGTTGGACCGCCTGAGAGGAAGGGCGGCGGCAGGTGGTTCTCTTCAGAAGTTTGCTGCGGGGATGACAATGGCTCGTCCGGTCGACTCCATTTACGCACTTGTACAGTGCACTCCTGATTTGTCCCAGCTTCAGTGCAGCTCTTGCTTGTCTCAGGCTTTTGAGAGAATTCCAAAATGCTGTCTAGGCAGGAGAGGAGGTAAAATATTTGGGCCTAGTTGTATTGTTAGGTTTGATGACTCTCTTTTCTATAATGATTCCAGTGCTGATATTGGAGAGTCACCGCCACCGCTGTCGCTGCTCTCACCACCACCTCTATCTCTTACTCCACCCTCTAATGATTCCAGCAGCCCCAGCACTCTTACCATCACAGTCATTTCTATTTCTAGCTCCATACTTCTCATCTCCATCTGCATCTGCATCTTTGTCAGGGTGAGGAAATCAAAGAAGAAATTTGAAAGTAAGTCTAAGTCTAATTAAGTTGATTTTATTTTATTTTTTCCTTTGGATGTTTGAGTGGAAATCAATTATGCTTCCTTTCTGCATGGACTAAATCACTTATACCTGTGAAGAAGCTGAAGCTGTCGATGAAATTGAAAGTGTAGAGACACTACAATATGATTTAAGCACCATTAGAGATGCAACAAATAACTTTTCCGATGAAAACAAGCTTGGTCAAGGGGGATTTGGTGCTGTTTATAAGGTAAAGAAGTAATTTTAAGTACTATATTGTGGAATAAAACAGTAATTTCATTTAAGAAACAAGGTTACTTGCTAATTAGATTACTTACTTATGTTCTTCTATATAATTTTAGGGTACACTTGCTAATGGACAAGAAGTAGCTGTTAAAAGGCTATCCATGAATTCTGGGCAAGGAGATCTAGAATTCAAAAATGATGTTCAATTGGTGGCTAGATTACAACATAGGAATTTGGTTAAGCTCCATGGCTTTTGCTTGGAAGGGAGGGAAAGACTTCTCATTTATGAGTTTGTTCCCAACTCTAGCCTTGATCGCTTCTTATTTGGTAATATTTGTCTTACAGTAACTCCTTTTAGATTCTATACACAATGAAATCATCTATAAAGAAGAAATCACATTATGTGTGCACTACTATTATGTAGATCCAATCAAGTGCACACAATTATCTTGGGAAACACGTTACAAAATTATAGGAGGCACTGCTAAAGGGATTCTTTACCTTCATGAAGATTCTAAATTTCCAATTATTCATCGCAACCTTAAAGCTAGCAATGTTTTGCTAGATGAAGAAATGAATCCAAAAATTTCAGATTTTTGCATAGCAAGATTGTTTGTTGTTGATCAAACTCAAGATGCTACAAGTAAATCTGTGGGAACTTAGTAAGTACTATCACAATTACATCTTGCTATTTTGCAATTATTATTGTTTATGTGAATATATTTGGTCACACTTCATTTAAATGTTAAATTGCAGTGGATATATAGCTCCAGAATATGCCGTGGAAGGACAACTCTCAATTAAGACAGATGTGTATAGTTTTGGAGTATTAATTTTAGAAATTGTGAGTGGTCAAAAAATTAAATATATTCATCATGAGGAGAATTTAGCAAGCCTTATAAGTGACGTAAGTAGATGGGATTGGCATACATGAAATTGAACACTTTTTATAGGTAATAAGAAACAGAAATTTTTGAAAGATTAATCTTTGATTTTACTTTTCTTGTAGGCCTGGAGAAATTGGAGGGAAGGAACACCGCTGAATATTGTGGATCCTCGCTTGAGCACAGGCTCAAGCGCAGAAATCATAAGATGTATTCATATTGGGTTGCTTTGCGTGCAAGAAAATGTCGCAAAGAGACCAACCATGGGTTCAATTGTTGTGATGCTTACCAGCTACTCTCTGACTCTGCCGATGCCTTCACATCCTTCATTTTTCATGTATAGCGCCACTCAGTCAAACATGTTATCTTCTCAGAGTTTCAACTTGGAGGGAACTAAATTACAAAAATCGAGAAATGAAAATGCCACAGCTTCAATAAATGAGGTTTCAATCACCAAGCTGCATCCAAGATAGCTTGAAGACCTGTTGTTTATGCATTGTAATCATTATCATTTATCGCTTTCTTCTCTTTTGATGAGCATACCATTTTCCTACAAATTTTGTTGCTGTATGAAACTTAGAATGAAATAATTATTACACAAATTTCTACTTAATTTATGAATTTTTCTATCTTATATCTTTAAGGTATAAATTATAAATTAATAAATATATGTTTTTACAATTAATTTCTATTGAGAGCACATTTGGTGTAAGATTGAATTGAATTGGATAAATTTAATAAGATAAGATTAGATTGAATTGACTTGGATAAGATAATAAAATTCCAATCATATGTTTAGTATTTCATTGTACTAGATATTAAATTTTATCCCATACTTAGTTTGGTAATGTGTAAGGTTACACATAAACTTAGCAAAATTAGACCCAATTGGAAAATCTAGTCCAATCCATCCGTTATGGATCGAGTGATTAGTCTTTTGTGTTAATTTGAAATCCAAAATAATCCGAACTAAAATTATCCAAACCCAAATAAGTTGGATCACAGGTAGACCTAGCAAACGAGTGAGTTAAGTCGAGTTCGGATTGGGTCAACTCAGGTGACGAGTTATAGGAGTTGGGTCATGAACGGGTTGTGGGTTGAAAAAATCTAACCTTAACCCAACCTTAACGGGTTAGAGTTAACTCGCGGGTTGATCCTATTTTCATTTTTTATAATTATTTTTTATTAATTTTATTATATACAAATAAAATTATATATATCTAAATCTAATTAAAATATTGTGATTCATTAAAATTAAGTACTTTATAGTTTCAAC